GTTCAATCACGGGTAACACTAAAGATGCGTGTAGCTTTCTAACACAATGTAAGGGTTAAAGTCTCTGTGCTTGGATTTCTTTCCCCAGTACAGATACATTGCATTAGCAGCTCTTGAGGTCAAAATATGCCCAGCGTCCAAGTGTCCAGTAATCAGTCCAATAATCAGGAAGTGTGTTGTTAGCTTTTTTGAGGGAGCGTAACACAGAGGAGAGAGTCATCCAGAGACTGAAGGATGAAAATGTAAGTTACCCTGTTTTTCCACCTCAGAACACTGATCTCATAACATCTGTAGCCTACAATACAAGTGCTAAACACACATCCATGTAAAATGTAAGATACTGATTTGGATGAAATGCGACAAGACCTGTATATAGACCCAGTGTTAGCTCCAGTTTGTCTTTTAATGAGAGCTTAGCGTTTGTCATCTATCACCGCAAACTATGAAATACCAGGACTGTTTTGGAGACCTACAACTACTCAACAGACACCAGAGCCTCGATAGAAAACATACTAACGCTATGGTAGACAATAATACACTAAAAATAAAGAGGGCCGAAATAGTTAAAACGTAGGAACGAATTGCATATTGTGGGAACGTAATAGTAATTTGAAGCCACGATTGAATATCTTTTTTCGTACATCATCAGGCAGGCGCCGCATCGACCAGCCAGGGTTATTCCAATCAGGTGTAGTAGTAATTGCTCTATAAACTTCTTTGTTGTAAACTGGAAAGGGACAATCTGACTCAGACAACTGATCTGCAGCTGCTTAGTTACTCGCCTTCTTCTATTAGATGGAGCTTCGGACAATCCACATGTCTCCTTAATACTGATACTCTAGTAGCAGTCTGTGGGCCGTTTTTCTGATGGAGTTGAGGGTCAGGAGTGTCAGCACTCACTCGTCACTCGCTTGTTTGCTGTGAAAGAGAGAATATCCTTCGGACGCATCCGCGTAGCATCAGAGAAATGACCAGTGCTTCACGCGACTGCAGCGACACATTCTGTGTCTTTTCCTTCTCTTCACAACCAGTACACACACATTTGAGAATCTCGCCTTCTAAAACATTAAAAAATGTACGACTTCATCTGCATTTATTCGTTCAGCTGTAATATTGTTCCTCACGTGACGGGGGATGAGTTTCTGTGTGTATATATATGCATAGCAAAATATCACTTGTTGCAATATATAGTTGTAATTCTGCTCAAAATAAATTGTTTTTCTAATCTATCATAGTGAGGACTTCCATTTTGCGTTTATATTGAGATTTTAGAGCAAATATGGGTTGATTTTGTTAAAACTCTATTTATCTTATTTATATTCTCTTCCTCTCTCGCAGTGGAGAAGCTCAACTCAACAATACAGGTGGCTATGACTCTCATCGACAGGAATTTAAGAGGCTCACTGGTGGGTCTGTCTCGATATTCAAGAGGAGGTAGGTTACATTTGGTCTAGGAGGATTTCAGCAGGATTTCAGGACTTTCTCCCAGGGTGGGTTATTTCTATCAAATCAGGTATAAAGTAACTATTCGTATTCAAATACTACTTGATAAATGTTTTCGGAATATACGAGCATTCTTTCATACGTCAATATGTACGTCTCAATCACGAGGTTAATAACTGTATCACCCCCTCACTAGTTTTCATTTTTACAACACTCAATAACACAAGTATATAATATTTATCACACAGCAATAAACCATTTGAGTGCATGACAATATGTTAAGTAGTTAGCACAGACAGCGGTGTTTTCTGCAATCAGTCTGCACGCATCTCCGCTGTGTTGTCACCACAGATTGTATATGAATGGAAATGTGCCAAAAAAAGAATCCGTCCCATATATTCGGTGCTATCGTTTTATTGTTAAAAGCTCTCTAGGCGAGACTTCCTCTGGCAGCATAAAAATCACGGCTCGCTACGCATCGCTACTATTGCAACTTTAGCAAATAGTAGTGCATATTTGTGATTTAAGGAATGTACAAACTCAGCCGTGCTCTCTAACGTTTCGACACACTCTGTAAGGTCGAGGCGGGTTTGTCTCAGACTCGCTCAGAGCAATTGAAGAATGCGTGATATAGTCGATGGAGGGCCATTATATCTTTCCCACATATTTACGGGGATGATCTGCGGCACACGCTCTCGCTCATACTCTCCCCAATCGGTGGATGATCAGGTCAAAAAGGAAGAACAGTGGCACAGCAAAACCCTCCATAATTCAAAAAACAAAGTACAATCAGCATATAGTTTTATAATAATAATGAATATGGTAGTTTTATTTACATTGTCTTAACTAACATTGACTCTCCACCTCACACAGCCACCTTTTTTGATATTCATCTTGCCTATTTTTCAGTCAATTTTAAAAAAAAATATATATGCTCAAATATATACATCATCAATCACAGAAATTCTATTAGCCTTACCAAGTGGTTGAAGATCCGCTCAAGACAAAACACCATCACACCTTTTTAGCTAAACTAAGAGGACATTGATTGAGGGGACGTAAAAATAAAGCAAGCATGTTATTTCACACCCTATACACTATAAATATGATATGAAATCAATATACTGGAGTTATAATACGCACGTGAACACTCCATCATCTACAGCATCTATAAATAAAAATTAGTGAATTGCTATTGAATACCAGGATCACAGTGTTAATATCTACGTAATGAAAATACTATCACACCCGGTTTGATGTCTGCTGCTCAGTCCCTGATAAAGGCGCTTACTATAGGTCTCTTACTATAGACATACTGCCTGAGGTACGCCTGCTTCCATTACCTTCTGGGTACTTCTGTCTCTGACATGGATTGCAAGATTTGCACTCACAGACCCTCTCACACTGCATACGTATATCAAGGAACGGCTTATTAAGTACTTCACAGATTTCAATATCCGACTCTTGTGTAGATTGGGTAAGGGCCCATTTTTGATTAAAACGCAACCTCTATCACAACTCAGAGGGGAGGGATAGAGTCCTAATGATGTAACTAATGCCTAAAATTTGAAACGTGACTCTCTAGATGGTATATATAATACACACAATGTTGTATTATCTTCTATATGTTGGAAAAAGTGATCCATGGCCGCGCAATATGGTTGGAACATTGAGGCATAGAGCCTATCTGAGAGAGATAAAGACTTAATAGAATTATAAGTGAGCACTTAGTTAGACTCAGAAGGATGAGCCGTAGACGTGTGCGAAATTATTCACCAGACACAGCAGATATATATGCATATTTTAATGATCAGGAGGCCCCACGAGATTTTTGTATCTTTGCATAAGTTTCTCTTGTTGGTTTCAAGACGATTATCCAGTCAGAAAGCAGATTGAGCTGCATGAGTCTCTCTCTAGTTTACCACTTTCAATGTTGGCTGGCTGATATTTTCACTTTTTAGTATACTGGCTATTGGCCTTAAATCTCCAGCAGAGGCTCATATTTTGTTTGGCCCAACCAGCTGCCTAAACATGCACATATGCATAAAGCCTATCTGAACTAGTCCAAAGACGGTAGTGCAAAAATGTGACTACCACTGCTCCCTCATCCAGTGTGTACTAAACCGAAGTCATGGGTGAATTTGTATTAAAGTCAAATTAGATTATTTGGGGAAAATTACCAAAACACACATTGGCCAAGGAAAAATTGAAAAGTGAAAAACTGGTACTGGCATCGGCCATGGAAAAATGTATATTCTCTAATCTGGATCCTTACTCCTTAAACCCCAGTGCCTACAGCCAATCATGAATCAATGATAGCGCAGTCTCTGCAGCTCAGTGAATGAATTCTGGAGGTTGTGAGCTTTCACATGAGAATGGCCTGTCCACATACTGAGGATGAAAAACTATAAAAGAGACTGCCAACCCTGGTCCGTTGCTCCAATACCATTAATTTTATAGGTCAAACCCAAAAAGCATAGAGACACATGTCCAGTGCTTCAAACCACTGCACCACCAGTGAGGAATAAGTAGGAGCCTCATGACCATGACCATGACCGTAGGTGAGAGTAGGAACAAAGACTGACTGGTAAATCAAGAGCTTCGCATTTCGGCTCAGCTCCCTCTTCACCACAATGGTCCGATACAGCGACTGCATTCACTGCAGACACTGCACCGATCCGCCTGTCAATCTCATGTTCCGTCCTTGTGAACAACTTGAACAAGACCTCCACTTGAGGCAGGGAACTCTTCACCCACTTGGAGAGGGCAAGCCACCTTTTTCCGGTCAAAAACCATGGCCTCGGACTTAGAAGAACTAATCTTCATCCCCTATGGTCAAGAGCTCTGGGTAATGACTGAAAGGATGAGATCGCGGATATAAGCAATCGAAATGAGTTTCCTTTGCAGGGTGGCTGGGTGCTCCCTTAGAGATAGGGTGAGGAGCTCAGTCATATGGGAGGAGCTCGGAGTAGAGCCTCTGTTCCTCCACGTCGAGAGGAGTCAGCTGAGGTGGCTTGGGCATCTGTTCCGGATGCCTCCAGGGCGCCTCCCTCGGGAAGTGTTCTGGGCATGTCCCACCGGGAGCGAGGAGGCCCTGGGGAAGACCCAGGACACGCTGGAGGGACTATGTCTCTTGCTGACGATTGGGACTATGTCTTGGGCTCCCCGGAGGAGCTGGGGAGGACGGAAGTCTGGTCCCTGGGAAGTGGGAACTGGAGTCTGGTCCCCCTCTGCTTAGACTGCTGCCCCGCGATGCGGCCCGGATAAGCCGGAAAAAGCCCGGATGGAAGATGGATGGATGGATCCTCCATTTAATTTAACCTGTCTTAATCTTGTTGTTAGTACTTCTCCACTTATAAGCTTCCCACTTATAACTTAAATGACCATAATTTATGTTTTGGACAGTAATTATGCATTTCTATGAATGTTTTACCAGCCAACAATGATGGTGGACTTTGCCAAAAACAATTTAAAGTCTCCAGTCCTCATAAGGTATAGAGATAAAAATCAGTACACTACCAGAGAGAATCCTGTTTGATCAGTTAACCTGTATTAACCTTGCAGTTGGGCTGGTACCTTCCCCACTACAGACTATAACAATAGAATCACACTCTGACCATTTGACTGCTCTAGGCCCTCATCTGACCTTGTTTATGTGGTTGTTTGTTGCCTTGACCTCAGTCAGCCCGAGCTTCCCCGCTTCCGTCTCCGTGAACTCTCCAGCTTCAGCCGCCCCGCATGCCAGCCACGCTTCCTGCATCGTGCACACATCACAGCTCAGACTAAAGACACACTAAAACAGCTCAGAGAAGCAAACAACAGGCCAGTGAGTCAGGCCAGGGTCACTCTGACAGAAAGCTCTACAGTGAAGGGTTAAAAAGGTTAAAGTTTCATTGTGTGCAAACTCATTTTTCACATCTCATTAGGATGAAGTGACAAGAGAAGCAGCAGGAGCCAGATGGACCCTAGCCCAAAAAACTGACTTTCAAAATTACATAAACTTACTATACTTACTTAAACTTACAATTGTAGATTAATATAGTTCTGTTTTGAATTTCAGACTTTTGACTTTATTGTTCCAAAGGTGAGATTCTTTTTCACAAACAGAGAGATTGTTTGACATAGACACAGACAGACACACATCACAACAATATACACACTTTACAATAGACATTACAGTATACTCAGCAGCATGTAACGTTAAATGGTTAAAGGTTTAGTGGTAATAATAAGAATGTTTATATTACACTGCCCTCTGGTGATTACATTTCAAACTGCAGTAAATATACATATTGGTAATATAACGTTTCCGGGGAAAAACTAATACAAGAACCCAATGCAATTCAGAGCATGGTTGAAAAGTTACTGAAATAAAAATTATTTAAAATTAGCAAATTATGACCATTGAAATTGCACTTTTAAGCTGATTCAAGATTAATTTTGTTGCCCAAGTATATAGTTTCATTTGGTTATTATAATTTAATTATTATTTTTTCTGACATTGACTAGATGTGCTGAAGGCTCCATCTTCTTGTATTTAAAGCTTAATTGTCTGATTGATCTGATTTTGCACATCAGTGTCCCTTAAGTTTTTTACCTAAAGCTTGTAGAACTGCAGAGACCACAGCCGGACCACCGTGGATGTGGAACTCTGCGCTGTCCTCTCCAGTGAAGCTGTGTGGGCCTAAACAAACAAGCACAGAACAAAACATGATGATTACTTAACCTTTAAGCAATAAAACACCTTTCATTAATTAATGTGAGACATAGACATCTTCTCTGTCTTCTCTGCAACAAATAACTACCTGGAAACCACAGTACCAGCCCGCGGTCCAGCACCTCTTTGGTTCTAGGGTCTGTGATGCTGCGTAACAGTGCAGTCCGTGGGAGTGGAGGTTTGTGCTTAAGTCCAGCCATGGTCCTGAGAGCTGAGAGAGAGGCCGGACCACTGACCCTCACCACGGCAACGCCACACCTGCCGTGACCCGACGAAAGGGCGAAAATGGTGTCTGCATCGGCCAGTCTGTTTGTGTTCCCATTGTCACAGGTACACAACAGGCGTCGGACCGGTGGAGGTCCTCTACTGCAAGAAAGAAGAAAAAACACACATCCATTCAAATATGTATAAAATTAAGAAAATTTACATATGAACAATTATTGGAATACTGTTTTATATACATGACACAAATGAGATCATTATCCAATTTCTTCAGCTATCCAGTTACATTTTATTAGGTCTGAGGTCCGAGAGCCAACTCCAACTCTTCCACACTTACAGTGGAGCGTTTTAAGTCTCGTCAACCACGTGAGTTGTGTTGTCTTCTGTGTCTTTTATTAAATTTTATTGATTAATTTTATTCATTTTTTAAAATAATTTTTTGCTTTATGCATTTTAACACTTTTTATTTATTTAGTTGTTGTTGTTTTTTTTAAGATTTACTGTATTTTATTGTATTAATTTGTCCGTGCAGCACTTTCGTGTGTATAAGATGCGCTACAGAAATAAAGTGGATTGGACTGATAGATTGTTCACAACTGAGCAGGTTTTGACAAAGAAAATGATGCACATAAGGGCAAAGACATAAATGAAAGAGAAAATGTTAAAGATTATTTTAAAATGCATTGTACTTTGTTTTCCAAATACAACAGTTACCCTAAAGATCCACTGATTAAAGCATGTAGTGGCAAACCTCGATTTAAATGCACTGACAGCAGCTTTCCGTAATCCGCGATAAACTGACCACAGCATCTCCGAAAATCATTATTATACCACAAGTCCCATATGAAAGTGTCGTTCTTCAAACACTACTTCAAAGTAACGTTAAAGTACGTTAATGCCAATGTCAAGAAGCGTCCGGAATCATTTTTAAACACCTAAACGTAGCATTTTCCTGTTTTAAAGTCTCAACTCCGCAGCTCACTGTCATGCTTTCTACGCTGTGTTTACATTCAGCACGTCCCGGGCGCGTGGCTCCCTCTGGTGATGGTGATTGGTTAGTGCGTCACTGAACGGAGGTGCATTCTAAAAGTTTATTGGTTTAAAATGTGTCAATCAAAATATGTTCCCGCCTTCTGTGCAACAATTAAACGTATCCGTGTGGACATTGTTTCTACGATTTTTTTGGTCCTGTTAGAGTGTAGAGGTAGAGTCTTAATAAAAAAAAAGTTAAAAAAAAAAAAAAATAAATAATAATATCCCAAAATATAAACACTAAACTAAAGACAACAAATAAGTACTCACGGTAAGACAATTTTTACTTTCAATTTTTATCCTTGCTTTTATATTTTATTTTAGAATAATCTGCTTTATCAGGCAACAACACATTTACTGCATGTTCTGTGAATAAGAAATAACACAATAGAACTTCTCATCATGACGCAGATCTAACCTGAGTCTTTATTATAACGTCCAATTTTAATTTCTAACTCATAACAAATAATCTCAGTCTTTCAACTGATATCGAAAGGTTCTAGCAGTAGCTTCTCAGTCAAAAATTCTTCACTTTTCCACTGAGAATTTCATCTGATACTCCATTACAATCAACAGTTCACTGGGACTGAATTAATTAAGCCATTATTTATTGTTAAAGTTTCTGCCAGTGGGGAATTAACTTTACTAACTTCAACTTTAGTAAACCTTATAGCATAACCTACTTTTACTTTTACTTCAGTGTTCTGTTTGAGTGTAATTTTCAGGACATTTAGGGCCAGATTTGGGATTCGGGACAATAGCTTAGATTTTGGGACTGTCTGGTCACCCTGCCTTTCTTCCACTGGAACATAAGTTAAATGCTGTGTTTGAGCGTCCTTTTCACATACAGAACCTCTCTGCATTCCCATCACATGTGAACCCTAAAGAGAGGGAATAATACACAATTTATTTTTTTAGAGCTTTCAATCATGTTATTGGTTCCCTCATAAAATACACGCCTGAAGAGGTTTAGATGCCATCCAAGAATGTAA